TGATTTGCCACTTCTCGTTTCCATTTTTTTCTTTTCCATCTCACTTCTGACACCAATTTGTTATATATCTGCTTGTTTATTAATTTCTGTAGAAATTCTTTCTGAAAAACTTCGGCGATACAAGTCCTTTCTTAAGTAAAACTAGTTTATTCTTTCCCAATACAACTTTGCAATACACTTAATTTCCACAGTCACTTTAACTTAAACATACTCTATAATTCACAACGATTCACGCACTTTACCCACGGTGCCTACAGCTCGCGTGACTCAATTACCTATCTCTATATCTGTCTATCGGGCTCGCCATGGCCTGGTGGATAAGGCGATCGATTCGCAATCTGAGGGTCGCGGGTTCGAATCCCAGTACCAACAATCCTCGTCCTTTCAAAGAGGGAAGGTTGTCAAGTAGGTTGCAAGTAAGAAACAGCTTTAGAAATGATGGCAGAGCAAGATCTGCCATCGACTATGGGGGAAAAAAAATCTGTCTGTCTGCAAATATATCTCCGCTTTATTTGCCGGGCTTATTTATTAAAATAGAGAGCGCCAGAAACAGTAATGATCCTTCTAGAAACTCCAGCGCGCATGCTTCCAGCGTCACGTGATTTCCGCTGTCGTAACAATACCTATCATGCAGCAGGTCTGACTTAAAAAGGTTAAAAATTAGGAATGTAAATTTTTACCTTTTATGGAATTTTCATGTCACACTGTCCATATGTTTAAATAATTTTGATTATATCAACTGTAGCAAATTATATTTTTCCCCAAAAATAACCAATATTTTATCTTGGTAAGTTTGTCAAATATCTACCAATTACAAAATAATCTAAATGAAACTGAAACAACAAACATTTAGAATCAGTAATGGGACTAATAGCTAAATATTGGTACAGTTGTGAAAACACATATAATTATAAAATGAAAATGTTTTAAAGCTTAAGTTTAGAATCTGTTTTTCATAAAAAATGTTAAGGAAAGGGTAAAGATATGAGGAAAATTGTTAAATGCTCTTCAATATTCACTGGTCATAAATTTAGCTACTGTTTTACATTGGTTAAATTAGGATTCACTCAACTGCTAAAAACAACATAGCACCTTATAAATTAACAAAAAGTCACAAATATGTGTTAAGTAAGGCACTTTTTTGTGCTTTACACAGATTCACTACGATTATTACTGTAACTTGTAATGTAGCAACACTGTCAATAATGACAATATCACCGAGTATCAACAACTTCTAAGTTCTACGTAAGTACGTTATTAATATTACTAACGTTACTCCAAGTTCAAAACAAAAGTTTCATCCACCATTTTATTCAAGTTCTTCTTAACATTTTCTGTTACTATATAACAGTGATATAGATCAATGTATTGGGTCTTCATTAGTGTAAACTATAAAAAAACAAGGTATTGGTAAAACAACTCAGTACAGCAATATTTTTATAGACTAATACAGTAATATTTGTACCTCAATGTGGTGTAGACTGTAATGTAGTTTATGTGCTAAGTTAAGCCTACTGACCATAGTGGTTAGACTGCATAAAATTATTAAACTGTCACACTAAAAATTTAAAGTAATCATTCTTTCCATTTATACCATATAGTCTTTCAAGCCCTTTAGTCTCATTTTTCAAAAATTCAAGATGCGTTAAACATGAAAACTAAAATAAGTCCATCTTACTTGCCTTTTTTATCCAAGCTAGCACTGTTAGTAACAGTATCATGCATCAATTCGTGAAGTTCAGCACATAGCAGCACTCGTCATATACCTGCTTTTCAATCTACCACTATGGAACTATAATACACTCACAACTGTACAATGTTTTTATCTTAATGAATAATATGCAATTATATGATTTTGTTCACGTGTTTTTGGACGCCGATCAAGTTCAAATATATTAATGCAACACTTACTTTTTTTTTATCGAGAACAAAACTGTAATGCCTGTACTCAAATATTTCTTAACCTTTGAAATTATATTCGAAAGGTAATTGAACGAAATGGAATTTGTATGTATTCAAGCAAATTCTTGTTTGTTTTGTTAAGCGCAAAGCTTCAGAATGGGCCATCTGTTCTGTGCCCACCACGGGTATCGAAACTTGGTTTTTAGTGTTATAAGCCTTTGGACTAACCGCCAGCCACTGTGGGACAGGCAAATACTAAATGTTTGAGAGAGTAGACAAAACTTACGAACTATAACTAGTTTTAAATATCAGAAGACGCAATAGTTTATTGATCAGATACTAATAATGTTTAAAGTTTTTAGACATACAGTTGATTGTTGGCTATTGTCAGTCTTCTGATTAATATGTCTGATTGGAGTAGATAACTGTTCATTTTCTTTAACAAGTGGAACTTCTGATACTTTTTCTGGACTTTGGCATTGAGATGAACTTATACTGGTATGTGTAGTGTCTGTACTGCTTTTAACAGAGCATTTAGCAGATTTCTTGTGGAAACGAAATTGACGAAGGACACTTATTAAGCTAGAAGATCCCTTTTCCTTTTCTTCACAGGCTCCTGGCATTTCTAGAATATTTAAAAAAGCATTTCTTATTGGAAACAATAGGCTTTAAATATATGTTATAATAAAGTAATCAAAAAACATGCACTGGAATGGTTAAATCCCCTTTGGCACAAAACTAAACCTGACACAAACAACTCTAGACTATGATTGGCTAGCTCTCAAGGCCAACTCATACTGAACATCAGGTATACATGACATCAACATCTGAGTCTATATATTTCATCACACTCATTAAACATAACCTTTTATTCTCCTGAAGAAGAACAGTCAACTATTCAAAAGCACTCGAGTTTTGGGTCTCATTTTGAAAGTATTACAACTTTTGTAGGTGATCCTGTACGCTAACTACTTAACGTAAAATAATTCAAGTCTGAGAAGGGTCAACCAATTTTGTTTGACAGATAAAAAATATCTCAATGACAATGTCATTTTAATGTTCTGATTTCTCAGTTAATATAATGTAAGTATTATCCAATTATCTTATATCTTCATTAATTAGAACACCTGGAATAGAAGGCATACAATTCTGAATTTTAAAGTGCATCTATTTAGTTTTTCAATTATACATTCAACATAGAATCAATTTTTAACTTATTTAAAAGATGAAAGTAAGACAAATAAAAAAAGAAGAACTTTCAAAGTAAAGATGTTTTAATGGCAAACCTGATTGGTGAAAGACAACATTATAATGAATTAGTATCAATCTTTATCAAATAAAAAATCACATGCACTGAATGTCACTTCCCATTATTTCACCAACCACACTGTAAATTTTGATATTTTTATTCTATAAGACAATTTTTGATCCAAGAAATAACATTAAGTGATTTGAATGAAACATATTTTGCTACTTCTTACTGTCCAATATTTAATGTATTATTTTGCAAAAAATGTTCTCATGCTTTATACTATCACATGATTTTTCAATTCCTCCAGTAACATCAAGAACATTGTATTATGAAACTTTATCTCTTACAGTACGCAAGTCCTCCTTTTAATAATTACAATGTTTTGACCCAAAGTATCGAGTCATTATCAGGTAAGAGTTACATTCAGTGGATGTAAAATTCTTACTTGATGACCACCCAATACTATGGGTCAAAATGTTGTAATTATTAAAATAAGAATTTGCCTACTGTAACAATTGCTTTTATTGTATTTTGAATTTATCATACAATTCAGTAGGTTCCTCACAAAACATTAAACTTAATAACTGTACTTACTGCTACAAGAGGATGATGAAGAACCTGTAGCTTGTGTAAAGTTCATAAAAGACTTGCGTGGGATAATAGTTATAAGAATTGGTAACTAATTTCTATAAAGATAAAATCAAAAACAAAATAAAATAAACAATAGAAATAAAATTAAAATTAAATAATAGCAAAATGCAGTGGGAAATAGAGAAAATAATAATGTATTTTAAAATATAGGATATCAAACCAATATATATATATAGAGAAATTAAGGAAAATAATATTAATAATAT